ATCATAGAGAGTCGAAATCCAGTACAGAAGCGTAGAGTAGCGTCTCGAAGTAGAGTCAGAGTAGCGTCGAAGCCATGCGTAGGCAGCCTGCCCGGCATTACCGGGGCCTGGTAGTGAGAATTTGCGGCCGCCTCCCTAAAAAAGTAGTTACAAACCCCAGGGCTTCAGGCCAAGCGTGGCACTACCTGGTCCTGGGGAGTTGGACTTTGCACTGGGCCAGTAGGCCACTGGCCCCGTAGTACCACGTGCGGCACTACCAAGCCAGGGCCTACCGGCACAACGATTCTGGAAAATGATCAACGCGCAATCTGGGCCGTGCTGCACAACGCTGACGACTGTCCAGATCACGAGTTGATGACATTGAAAACGATAAGCATCCAATCTGGACCGTCGCACGCCAAGGAGACAAAGGGCCCAGATCGGCTGCTGGTCACACGCTGCAAAATAGCAATCGTTATACTTGTAGTGATGAAGTGATGGCTGAACCAGAATCAATGTTCGAATCCCTCTTCTACTGCAGGTATCACATGAGGTCCACCATAGCCCTGGCCACCCTTCTTCCTCTTCCTCCAAGTCCGAGGCTATGGCGAACAAAGGACAACACGAAGCAGCTATGGCTGCTCTTGTTCAGGCTGCCATGCCTGATTCTGGCTCGAAGCTTCTTGGTGTAGCTCTACCCCACTGGGGCCTTCTTGCTGCAGCGTCCACCAAGGTGATGACTAGTCCTCTCCCTCCTCCTGGTGTCCTTCCTTCCCAAGCAGCGCAGCTCTGTGCTAGCGCTGCTCCAGCCCGAGCTCCAACCAGTGTGTCGCCAAACTTGCACACCAACAATGAGGAGGAGCCGTTCAGACAGTGGCCTGGGGCCACAGCAGCTAGGCGCGCCCAACTACCCATGTGCGCCCTGAGGTGTTCCGCGCATCGAGATTGGCCGGGAGGCCTGCTTCCACATCGACGTTAGAAGAGCCTAGAAGGCTCAAGGAAGATTCTGATGCTCGCGAGCAGGACTCACGTAACCAACTGCCGCATGGCACCTGTCTGGCGCTCACCAAAATTTGCAATATTCAGGCCTCGTTGAGGTAAGGGGTTCCGCCTTCACTTAGGGCGGGCACAAAGCTTGTTGCAGGGGCCTCATTGAGGTAAGGGGGTCCCCCTTCACTTAGGGTGGGCACAAAGCTTGTTGCAGGGCCCCCATAAGGGCATGCCGAGGACTCCAATCCTCGCAAAAGAATTCCAAGACGACCCTCAGCCAAAAGTTATTGAACTGCAACATTAGACAACATTTTTTTATTTTTTTTCTCCCGATTTGGGAGTGGCCTGACCCCACCTTGACCTCACCCAGATGTGTACCCCCACAACTAAGTACAAGCCAGTCGGATAAACAGGTCAACAGATAATACTGGCATGAGTGTTTGATCCACAGAAAATGGAACTCAGTGGTGGAACGTTTCACAAAAGTCATCACCTTGGTGGACGACACACTGGTTGGAGCTCTGTTTGGTGTGCGAGTTTAGCAACACACTGGTTGGAGCTCGGGCTGGAGCAGCGCTAGCACAGAGCTGCGCTGCTTGGGAAGGAAGGACACCAGGAGGAGGGAGAGGACTAGTCATCACCTTGGTGGACGCTGCAGCAAGAAGGCCCCAGTGGGGTAGAGCTACACCAAGAAGCTTCGAGCCAGAATCAGGCATGGCAGCCTGAACAAGAGCAGCCATAGCTGCTTCGTGTTGTCCTTTGTTCGCCATAGCCTCGGACTTGGAGGAAGAGGAAGAAGGGTGGCCAGGGCTATGGTGGACCTCATGTGATACCTGCAGTAGAAGAGGGATTCGGACATTGATTCTGGTTCAGCCATCACTTCATCACTACAAGTATAACGATTGCTATTTTGCAGCGTGTGACCAGCAGCCGATCTGGGCCCTGTTTTTCATCCTCTTCTACAATTCATGCCACCGATCCTGGTCATTAAAGTGCAAATTCACAAGGAAAGACAATGCCACCCAATTACAAAAGAAATGAAAGCACTTGCAAGGAGAGAGAGACCAAAGAAAAAGAGTAAGAAGAAAAAGAAGACGTACACCAGCAAAACCAACGACAAATCCCCCTTCTCTCTCCACCTTCCTCCTTTTCCTTGTCTTAGCCAATCTTATTCTTCTCCCAAATAATAATAATAGCAATGAGTGGTTGAACCACAATCAATATCTGAAGTTTCCTCTTACTACCAACACAAACATTAGGTCCACCATAGCCATGGCTTCCCCTTCACCTTCCTCTCACATGTCAAGGCTATGGCGGACTACTAAGGGCTCTGCCCTCCTGTGCAAAAGACAACTGAAAGCAGCTATGGTCGCTGCTATTCAAGTCGCGATGCCTAACTCTACCTCGAAGCTTCCTTGGAGCAGCAGTAGCCAACTGGGGCCTTCCAGATGCAACGCCTAGCAACGTGATGAAGAAGGTGCCTACCATAGCCAGGTAGGTACCTCACCATGCTCCTCCTTCGCACCCTTCTTCCTCCTCAAGCTGGGCTGCACTCCATAGCCAGGCTGAGCGCCCAGCTGCTCTTTGTCCTCCCAGGCAGCGCTCTGAGTCCAAGTTGCCCACTCAAGCAGTATGTCGCCCAACCTTGCACACCGCAAATGAGAAGCTACTCGCTCCTCCAGAAGATATACCGGCCTACTTCCCTCTTGGGCGGCAACTTCCAGGCCGCGCGGCCTCCCAGCAACCGGTACCTCCTCCCTTGCGCAAGAAACATCATTGCACGCTCTGATATTGTCCGTACAGGCCCTAGACTCATGCTGCTTGGACTGGTACCGGCCTACCTCTAGCCTACCACTACTGGGCCTCCAAAAATGCCAACTTTTAGTCTTCTGCTTGGCCTCCATTACCCGACACTTCTACCACTACTCGAGTGGTACCGGCCTACCTGCTACCTGAGTGTTTTATCGTGGGTCTACCCCCACTACTTGATGTTTATCTCGCTGCAACCCTCAAAGTCACGGCCGCAGGTAAGTACCAACCCTGCGGGGCCTCCAAACGAACAAGTACTCTTGAGGGTGACACACACGCTTAGGCCAACAAGCACTCAGACAGGCACGCAGACCAGCAGGGATGCACACACACATACATTCCAGCGGCAAATCCCAGAAATCAGGAGTGTTCTCAGTCTGTGTTTTGGCGAGTCATTACACCTATCAAAAACATGACGAAGAAATTTTGATTGACAATCGTATGAATATCATCATCACAGAAGGACATTGATTCCGTGCACGATTTCAACTCATAATAGCTAACATCACCCAAACTTTAAATGATAAGAATCAATTTGCATGCCTTTTCCACCTTTGCAGGGAACACAAACTGCATCTAAGCAGACTGTGCACATGCTATATTGGGATGGATCTTAATGGTGGGGGAGCTTGTGCGAAGCCACCGTCCTCTCTTTCCACATAAACTACAAAGGAAGCAACCATTGGCCCAATGGATTACTACCATCTTCGTGCAAATAGAGTGCACGGTCATTGTTGCTGTATCTAGAGACTGAAAGTCACCCCAATTACAACGACCGTGCGTGCTATTCAGGCCATCCATGCCAAAAAATCCAGACCTTATCAGGTGAAAAAACAGCTCTTCAAGGCCTCTTAGGACAAAGCTCCCCTGGGTTTTAATTATATCAAATGGATGAATGCCAATGCCTGACCTTGTGCGAGCAACTCCCACAGATGCAACCTGGGAACTAAAAAGATCACAGAACATTGGGTCAATGTACCGAAACCAGTTGTGAAGCCTTGCTTTGCACTATTATTTCCAGAGTGGGTTCGTTGGACATCACCAACAGCTCTTCTTCCTGACTCTCGGACTCTAGCAAGGATGGCTATGCTGATTGGCTCGTTGAACCTCGTGCTGTATCACTTTTCAGCACCGTTGGGCAATCCAATCCAGAAGCTAGAGCCGCCTCATGCCAGCAACTTCACCGGCATTGACTACATATCAGTCAACCTGCCAAGCCTATGCTGGAAGTCCTCAAGTAGCCAGTATCAACTTCCATCCTATGTCACACACAGTTATGCTACCTCACGAGTCACAACAACACGAAATGCGTTTTAGGAAACTGAAAACTAATGGGGGAATTCAGAAACCAACTGAACAGTTTGTTCACAAGCAGGAAGTCAACACAAGGACAAGAAGTCGAATACTTTGCAGGCACCAGGTTTAGGCCCTTTACCGTGACACATGGTCTGCCTCAGCAGATATTGAAGATAGTGCTAGCGAAGCTTGCTGGACAACATGCTTATTATCGCTCAGAATCATGGAAAGAAGTTGGCGAATTGCACCATCATCGCGGCCAAGGGCACCCCGACTGTCCGTATCATCGACTATCTTTGCCAATGCAGATGCCAAGAGTGGGTGCTGCACAAGACAGGGCACACAGACCAAAATCGCATAAGACTCTCTCTCTCTCTCTCTCTCTCTCTCTCTCTCTCTCTCTCTCTCTCTCTCTCTCTCTCTCTC